AAGACTCAAAATTCATCTCAGTCTTCTTTGCTCCTTTGGCATTTTTTGCCCTCTGCAGTGGCACTTTGGTAGAGTGCCTCGTTTCAGGGAAGGTATCGCATCCAGAGTCGCAGCGTGCAGCTGTCCAGGCTGTGCACTGCATTTACCTAGACTAGAGTAAAGGGCACCCCCTGCAGCTGCACGATGCAGCTTGCAGCACCCAGCACAGTGCCTTGACTATAGAAAACACTCGATCAATGTTTTATTTATTATCTGAACATACTCAGTACAAAGAAACGATAAATGTTTTGGTTAAGCACATGATCACTGCTCAGATGTGAGTTCTGACTCACACCTGACTTACCTCACCTCTTGGCAGTTCTGCTGCTCTTCTATAAAATGAAGATAGTCAACGTATACACCTAATAAGAGTAAATGTGTTTGCACATATGAAGAACTTAGAATAGTCCCTGGTTGGTACAGACATTTGGCACTAATAGTTTATTTCAGTGCTCTTCATAGGATATTCAAATAGTCACTCTCTGCAATGACATATTGCCTTTGGCAGTCTAAGACAATACAGTGAGGGTGAGGGAGGAGATTAGCCATGCTGATCACCTGATGTGCTCCAGACATAGAGCAGGTATTTCACACATGTGATCTCATCCAGCCCTCACAGTTGTCCTGTAAGACAGGAGCGTTCTTCTTGTCTTAGAACAAGCTGACCCAGGCTGTGAGTGAACTGTGTCACGTCCGCAGTGATCATCAGGCCACCATGAAACTCCTCCATGTATCCCTCTCCGTCTCCAACGTTTCAGACTGGTTCAGGCACAAAACTCATTGGTCCAGTCCCTCCTGGTGACCGTCGGATATCACCAACCCTTCTGCCTGGCATGGGTCAGGAAGGGACGGCTCCCACTGGTAGGTGCCCGTGGCATCTCCCGGGCACCAGCTGCCCACCTGCTGGGACTGCCGCTCCCCCTACACTATGCACTGCTGCAGCTCCAGCAGGGGTCAGGAGGAACACCGCTCTCTGTTTGGGGTCATTATTACCCTTCAGAAAAACAGCCAGACAGGAATGTCTGTGCTTTGACATCTCCCATAGCTTAAGAAAACCCCCTTTGAGATTCTTTGCATTCAGCCTTCTTTGTTCCCACAACCCAGATAAATGGGAGCCAGGTCAGGGATGGATGTAGGCTGTGGGCTGTCCAAAAAACTGACCTTCCCTCTGGATACTGGGGTTTACCGCTGGTCTAGCCTTCCAAGTGGAGATCCAACCAGTCCATCCTAAAGGAGATCAGTCCTGGGTGTTCACTGGAAGGACTGATGCTGAAGCTGAAACTCCAATCCTTTGGCCACCTCATGCGAAGAGTTGACTCACTGGAAAAGACCCTGATGCTGGGAGGGATTGGGCGCAGGAGGAGGAGGGGATGACAGAGGATGATGGCTGGATGGCATCACTGACTCGATGGTCATGAGTGTGAGTAAACTCCGGGAGTTTGTGATGGACAGGGAGGCCCAGCGTGCTGCGGTTCATGGGGTCGCAAAGAGTCGGACATGACTGAGTGAATGAACTGAACTGAACTGAGCCTTCAAACTACTCTGCAATTTAAAAGATCTTTGAGGGCACCATGGTTGCTTTACTGATTTAAAAGAATATCATCTCCCTAATATATCTATGTCTATAGGAAGGATAGAAAATATCCAAATACATGTTACATTTACCTTTCTGACATTTTATCCCACATTATAAAAAAAATAAGACCATCTTCAGGATCAGGGAAATATAAACGCTGTAAGATAAAGACAAAGCCTGGAATAATAGAATAAGTATCAACTCCGAAACCAAATATATGTGGGTTTTATTTCAGCTCTGTGTGTCTTTGGGTGCATCACTTCACCTCACCTTTATCACCTACAAAACTGAAATAATAATATCAACCTTGCAAAATCCAAGATATAGAACTGTTGTGCCCAAAATGCCTGAATATACAGTAAGTGCTCAATAAATGGTCATTTTTTTTCCCCACTGCCACCCCTTTGTAATTTTCTTTGGTTGTGGACTTTGAGAACTCTAGGTCAGGAAAGTAACAGACAGATGAAGAACAGTGTTTACTCCATAATTTTTTATGGAGTGTCTCCTATGTGTAACCCTGTGTTGGCTCATGGAGATACAATGGAGAAGAAAAACGCTAAGATTCCGGGTTCATAGAAGCTCCATTCTAGTTGGGAAGACAAAAAATAAACATGTAAATAAATGAGTAAGTGGATATTATTACAAATCGTTATTCGTGCTCTGAGGACAACAAATAAAGATGTTAATAATAGAGAACAGGAAGTCTAGGAAGAGTTTTAACCACAGGCGTGAAATTGCCTAATTGATATTTCTAACAGATCATTATGACAGTTTGGGGTGATTGAACTGGAAGGCTGCACATGTGAAAATGGGCAAATTAAAGTCACTCTGCTCTGCTACAAGAGGGCAACACATGATAGCCTTGACTTCAAAATGGTCTTCAAAATGATGAAATAATTTATTTGTGTAATGACTGTGTTGCTCAGATTCTTTAGGGGTAAAAAAAAAAAAAGTTTATTATGGGAACTGGAAAGGAAATAACTGAGCACACACACCCACAAGTTAATGAAACAGTTTCCACCTCCAGCCTGAATCATAGGGTAATACATCAGAAGACTCCAAAGTCGCAGATGAAGGAAGATTGTGCCAAATTTGTAACAGAGATTTAGAAAGCTGCCAGCAGGCTCAGGGCACAGATTTCAGATGGCACAGGAGGGGAAGAGAGAGAGTAATGCCAGCTAGGTCTTTCTGTAGGAAGGAGCCAAGACTAGCTCTTACCAGAAAGCTGAGCCTGGCCATCCAATTTCCATTATCACCATGTTAGTTTCTCCATCTCAGGAGCAATTTGATACCATCTGAGAAGTCTCTTACTGTCTGTGAGTTGGGCCTTTGTAGGAGAGATGCATCAGAGATCAAAACTATGTTATACCTGTGATTATGCATACACATATAAACCCATGTGATATATATGTGAGATATATATAAGATCAACTTAACTTAGTTCATTAGTTTTAGTCCTCCTCAGTTTTATTGAGATATAATTTTTATCAATATTGCATAAGTTTCAAATGGACAACATAACGATTCAATATGCATATACTGCAAACCAATCACCACAGTAAACTTAGTTACTAACAACCATCACCTCACATGATTACAAATTTCTTTTTCTTGTGATGAGAACTTCCAAGATCTACTCTTAGCAATTTTCAAATAAGTTCATTAGTTTCATAAACAATTTTTCTAAAATACAAAGTTCTTGCAAAAATAATATCATAGCCCATTAGGAAACGTTAACAGTCTGCACAGAGAGCCCCTTTTCTCAATTTCTGGGACTATCAGCTTTGAATAAAAATTAAATGTGTTTCTTTATGAGGAAATTATCTCTGCACGATAATCCATTAGCAGACTAGATTTCAGTAAGTCAGAAGGGCCAGAGTTAAGCTTTCATGAGGTAACAGTAGAGGCAAGGTAGGGTGGGTAAGAGCGAGGCATGAACATCAGGAATCCAGGGGAGCCTACGGTCATAGACAATAGGTCGAGACAGAGTGGAAAGGGGCAGGGGGCAAAATTCACCTCCATAATATTGTGTTCAGAGGTAGTCCCTCCAGCACTCTACCTCCAGTAGTAAACAGCCTCTTGTGTTCTGAGCTGTCTGTCTGTTAATCGTCTGTTTTCTATAGTTGATCTAGAGGGGCAGGAGAGAGAGACTCTGTCTTCTCACTCTATCATCATCCTTCAGATGTAAGGGCCACAGATAAAATATGTTCTTGAAAGGTCAAATTTAGACTGGAATAAAATACTGAGGGAAAAAAATTAAAAGCTAAAGTGGCTTTAGCTTTTATGCGGTTCTTATGGTGGCTTCCCTGGTGGCTCAGAGGGTAAAGCGTCTGCTTGCAATGCGGGAGACCAGGGTTCGATCCCTGGGTCGGGAAGATCCCCTGGAGAACGAAATGGCAACCCACTCCAGTATTCTTGCCTGGAAAATCCCATGGACGGAGAAGCCTGGTGGGCTACAGTCCATGGGGTCTCTAAGAGACAGACTGAGTGACTTCACTTATATAATCAAAGCATGAATTAGCAGCATGTACTCGACAGAACATGAAGTTTTGAGTTCTGTGCTCTCTGCAGAGAGAGATGAAGTGATTCTTCGGATGCTGATCGAAATTCCCTGCCTGCCTTGCGGTAGCTGAACGTTGGAATGGCAGGAGTGCTGCGCCATCTTGTGGGAAGATACGTAGCATCAGCATTCATTTGAGGCTTTTTTTTCTTTACCATAGACACACGCACATGCACACACACACTTGCTTTTTACAAGGAAGATTTGAGAATAAAACCTGAAGCTGAGTTGACAACTACAAAAGTACCATCAGTTAAGGATATTCTCTAGAAAGTTTCCCAATGAATTAATTTATAAATGAAAAGGATTAAAATGTAACACCTCATTAAATCCTTAGTTTTTCAGAAATAAGTATAATAATAATATCTGAGAGCTATTGAATGTGTACTGGGTGCTAGATAAACCCGGGTCTAGGTAATTTACATGCATTAATATATGTCATCCTCACCAACACCCTATGAGGTATGGCTAATACCCTCCTGTTTCACAGGTGAGGAAACGGAAACAGAGAATCAATGACCTGCCCAAAGCCACACAGCTGGAAGGTGGCAGAGCAGGAAAACAACCATGATCCTGAACTCGTGAACACTATTAGGCTGCTTCTCTGATATACACATTGTAGCGCAGTAAGATGGATGTCATTAAGGCATTAAGCAAGGTCAGAGGACATAAGACTTTGAAAAGCATGTCCCTAGAACATAAGACTCTGGTTTTAAACTACTTCCCTAAGTAGAATAATATCTCTCTGAGCTTTCTATGATTCGGAACCTTTACAAAAGACTTCCTTAAAATTGTTTTTGTGACATTCCCTTTCCAGAATCATAGAATTTGGAAACTAAGGAACTAAGGCAGAAACATGGAAAATCCCTTTATATTCATGATCATTACATCAACGTCATCCTCACCATCACCATCATCGTTGCCATTGCTGAAATCGTCATCCTCACCATCACCATCACCATCGCTGAAATCCTCAGCCTCACCATCACCATCACCATTGCTGAAATCCTCATCCTCACCATCACCAGCATTAATGAGTGTTTACTCTGTGTCAAGCCCTGTGTTCAGTGCCTGGAGGCTATATGGATACAAACTCTTGTTCAGTTCAGTCAGCTGAAGCCCAGTGGCCTCAGGAGCTGTGCCTAAGACTCCAGAGTCAAACAGCTGATCCTGTAATCATGCACAGCCCAGCGTACTCCCTCTAAACCGAGTCACATCCCCCACTAGATAGAACAGCCATCAACAACCAACACTGGGAGAATAGAGGCACGTTTTTTCATCACTAAACATCCGTTTAACACTAGTTTTCTGCCAAAAAAAAAAAAAAAATGCTTTGTCATTCCTTTGAAAAACCATTATCTTCTTTCTTTTCCAGGATGACATGTTGTCATACCAGCTTGGTTACTTTTGATGCAATTTAACCTGATTTTGCTTAAAACCAGCTATTCTTCTTACATCTGTTTGATCATTCAACAACTAATAGGCATTTCCCACAACTGTTGATGTGAGAAAAACAACAAAAAGTACAGCTCACCTTATATACCCTGATTCATCTGAGCTGGGCATCAGTCACATATCTTGAAATCTGAAAAAGGTCTCCAGACTTCTCCCCTCTCTTTACAGGGGAGAGGCTGGAAACTTGGGCACCAGTACAATAAGCCTGTGCATAAAGCTGCTTGTGGTAGTGGCCAGACTGAACCTGTGGCATGGGAATAGGGAGGTGGGAGCAGGTGCCCTCCCCTCAGCTCCCAAGGAAAGAAACCAGACTAATGCTCAGTAAGCCAGCTGTTTTTACTAAGATACATGAAACACTTTAAACTGTGAAATTTAAGTCATGGTTTTCTTTGAATAGAGGTAAAAATCATTTTATCCAGAGAGAAAATGAAAACCTCCCAAGATACATCTAGGTAATCTGTGTCCTTCCCATCCCTGAACCCCAACACACCAATCAGACTTGCGGATCCAGCATCAGGACCACTTGGTCTGTGGTGCAGTCACCTTGGACAGACTCCTTTCAAGAGACAAGCTATCTGGAATGAGGAGAGAACTTCCTGGAAATGGTCAGATAAATAAAAGTAGAGTGTAGCCTATTTGCGAGGAACCATGCTTTTTTCCCGGCCATTTGCAGGAAGAGCTGGAGAAGTAGCATTACAGGTCATTTCTCTCCAGAGCTGCGCCAACCCAAGATCCTTTTTCATTCCAATTGCTGTGTTTCTAGCAGATCATATTGCCATTTTTCTCCTCCCTGTCTAACACCAATTGTACTTCTAGGCTGTTGTTCTCACCGTTGATGGTGTTAATCTCCATAGGAACCGATGTGACTCAGAGGGTCAGTGTGAGCTTGGCGAGTCTTGTTACAATCACTGCCAGCATGATACCAGCAATGGCATCATAATCCACTGTGCTCACATTTTTGTTTTGTGAATTTGCAGAAGAGTCATGTGGCTTAAAGGTGACAGGCTCAAAGGAAATCTTAGGTTAGCACTTTGGAGTAAAACCTATCATAGCATCCCTCATTTCAGAAGTCGTGGAGTCCACTGCTTGCTAAGGGATGAGGCTTTCTTGGGTTTTTCTGTATATTGGCTATCCTGGTTTGGGGTCATGCATTCTCTCTGTAGATAGTAAGAGTTATTTAACGGGCATAGCAGTGGTGATGGAAATAACGCTTCTCCTTTTCATCAGAACAGTCTCATTTTTCTGTTGTTGCTCCTATTATTGTTTTCATTTGATAACACAAAATCTGCCCTGAGATTTTCCTACAAGAAGATTCCAGTGAAAGAAAGCTGTTTGATCTCACAACGACAAGGGGTCTCACAAAGTCTGAGTGGCTAAAGGCAAGTTAGAGATTACTAACCCAGTCCCCAGAGGGTGCAGAGGTCCAGTAGATGTGCCAAGAATCTTTTGGATTAGCAGAAAGCAGAGTCTTGCTCTCCTCTCTACGGTGCACCGTCTGCCGGTAAATTGCTTTAAATATGAGAAAGCCCTTCCTTACACTGAGCTGGATTGGCCCATGGTAACTTTCACCCACCTGTTGTTGTTCTGCTCTCTGCGGAAACACGAAAACATACCATTCTCTTTGTACTTTCATTTTATCTCTACCAGGATCCTCTAAGATCCAGCCTTTCCTGCCTCTGCATTAGGACTTGTCACATGCTTTTCATGAGTCTGTCTCCTCTACCAAGTGAGTTTCTAGAGGGAAAAAATAGGATGTTTTCTTCTTTGTGTAGTGAGTACCAACTTGATAACACCCATTCAAATACTTCACACTGGCTTTTATTTATCCCAAGGTTATGCTGGTCTGGGCTAAATACTTCTGATTCCTTCAACTACCCCTCAAGTCAGCAAGGAGATACTGGCTTCTTCTTCCTTCCTCCCTCCAACAGGAGCACTAATGGGGTGAAAGAAGGCAAATTGGATCATATAATGTTTCTGTGACAAAAACTATACTTTCAAATATCATGCTGTGTGGTGAGGGTAATGAAGTAGTTCAAAAATTCTATAAAGGAGGCTCTGGGTCCTTCAAACAGCCTTGAAATTCTACAATAAATGAAAATTTTACAACAGGAGGAGACTGCAGACATCACCTCACCCAATCAGTACCAAGGAGGTTATGGGGACCCAAGAATCAAACTGAATTGCCCAAGGTCACAGAGCTTTTTACTGGCAGAACTGAGACTAGAAACTCTCTTCTTTTTCTCTAAATTATGTTCTTTACAACATAGCACATTAATTCAAAGGGAATATTACACCAAACACTTCGTATGCTCCTCAATAAGTTAACTGGTAATTTTAAACACGGAGAGTGCCTTCTTAAATCTTGGGACCTAAAGTTTAGTACTCTCCCCCGATAGCATTTATATGAAGACTGCTACCTCCTGTAGAATTGAAATATTTCAGCAAGGGTTTTAAAGCTTACAGCTACTGTCCCTGGCAATCTTAGTTTTGATCTCAGAAGACAGAGATCCTGCCAATACAGAATCTCCAGAACGTGATGGAGTCTTTCTTCTTCATACTTATTGTTATGTCAGCACTTAGCACAGTATCTGGCAAATGCTAGACATTTAAACAATATTTGCTGACTGATTAATAACTTTGTAATTATCCTTTGATGAATTCATGACAAAAGCTCAAACTCAGGCTAAATTCCGCTACCGTTTGACTTGCTTCCCATTTCCAGGCCACGTGCCCAATAATCAATCAATTTATGTTCAGGGAACTTAAATACTAATGCTTACACTAATGCTAATGTTTATCCATACATGACTATTCCAGTAGTCATGTGTGGATGTGAGAGCTGGACTATAAAGAAAGCTGAGCACCGAAGAATTGATGCTTTTGAACTGTGGTGTTGGAGATGACTCTTGGGAGTCCCTTAGGCTGCAAGGAGATTCAACCAGTTTATCCTAAAGGAAATCAGTCCTGGGTGTTCATTGGAAGGACTGATGATATTCACTGAAGGACTGAAACTCCAGTACTTTGTCCACCTGATGCAAAGAACTGATTCATTGGAAAAGACCCTGATGCTGGGAAAGACTGAAGGCAGGAGGGGAAGGGAATGACAGAGGATGAGATGGTTGGATGGCATCACTGACTCGATGGACACGAGTTTGAGCAAGCTCCGGGAGTTGGTGATGGACAGGGAGGCCTGGCGTGCTGCAGTCCACAGGGTCACAAAGAGTCGGACAGGACAAGCAACTGAACTGAACTAATCCAAACAAAATATAATTTGAAACTTAAATAGGCTAAAGAGTACACATACAAGACTATTCCAACTTGCAAATATGTGATGTTACAAAAGACCATATGTAAACTAGGGATTAAACTCTGAAACATTTATTTTCAAGAAGTAAAAGGAGAGAGAAAAGAAAAAGAAAATGTTATTTCCACTACATGACTGGCATAGTATTTCCTTTGTGTTGGTGAGGCCTGTTATAAAGAATATGATATTGAGTAAAAGAAGAACTGTTTCCATTTCTGGTTCTACCAGTAATGGCTTTGTGACCTTGGGTTAGATTCCCAGAGCTGAGAAATAAAAAACCATTTATGATACTGTTTATATAAGGAACATAGGTCCCACTGCAGAATGCAAGGAACCCCCAGGAGCCCAAATCCCAGTTCCTAAAACACGTGCCAGGTGGGAAGGAAATGTGTGGCCCACTCTCTGTGATGGAAAGAAAGCTTTCATCAACCCTGAAACCAGCACTTTGCTAACATTCCTACCCAGTCACTTCACCAATGTACAACAGATACTTTCTCATTCAACACAATCAGGAAAAGTTAAGTGCAAAAGTTGGTTCAAGCAGAAAACTATAAAAAATTACACATTCTACTTCAACTTCAAACATGCAAGTATACATTAATGTGTCCAGTTCTGGTATATAACCAAGAAGCCACTGCCTGCATTTCCTCGAAGTTCTTTTCATATAAACTACTCCCAGCCCATCCTAAAGGAGATCAGTCCTGGGTGTTCATTGGAAGGACTGAGGCTGAAGCTGAAACTCCAATACTTTGGTCACCTGATGCAAAGAGCTGACTCATTGGAAAAGACCCTGATGCTGGGAAAGATTGAGGGCAAGAGGAGAAGGGGACGACAGAGGATGAGATGGATGGATGGCATCATCAACTCGATGGACATGGGTTTGGGTGGACTCTGGGAGTTGGTGATGGACCGGGAGGCCTGGTGTGCTGTGGTTCACGGGGTCGCAAAGAGTCAGACACGACTGAGCAACTGAACTAAACTGACTCTCAGAATGCCTCCTTTCCAATTGGTAGTTTTGGTGTCTTTAATATCAAAACTTCAAGACACTTGAAAAGCAATCTGACTACATAGCCTTCTTGATTTGTACAACATTTTAATCACACTCCATTCTTTCCAAAACATATACTTATTTTTCAAAAGGACAATTCTCATAATCTATCCATAACATATATAATATTGCATAATTAAAAGCATAATAGACAGTAATGGATTTGGTAAGCATACAGCTCAACTCTTGAGATCAAAAGGACTTGAGCAAACTATAGATGAACCCACTAATCAGAAGTGTCCAGCCAAGCATCCGGTACAAAGGGCACAGAGAATCTGGGTTCATCTGATAAGCCAGTTTCTAAAGTTCCTACTGTATTTATATCAAGGATGCCTTCAT